TTTTTTTAATATTACTTATTTTTCGTGCTACCAGGCGTAAGGGCCACCGGGGCTGTGTGAGTGGGTGGGTCAGACGCGACACAGACCATCACATGATAGCCCAACGAAGCTGGCATCTTATCGTCGTCATCGCCACGTGGAAATGTATAGCAGAAAAATACTCAGAACGGGTGATGTTGATTCTAAATGTGGAGGGGTGGGGGGGGAAATCCACGCGACCACGGGGAGAGAGAAACACACGCAAACTCCAAATATACAGCAGCAGGCGTCGTCAGGGTTAGAATCGAACCCACGACCTCCTGTACACCAGGTGAGGTAGTTACATCTCCTAGCCACCGTGATGATGATGAGAGAGAGAGAGAGACACGCAAACTACAAATATACAGCAGCAGGCGTCGTCAGGGTTGGACTCTAACCCACGACCTCCTGCACACCAGGCGAGGTAGTTACATCTCCTAGCCACCGTGATGATGATGAGAGAGAGAGACACGCAAACTCCAAATATACAGCAGCAGGCGTCGTCAGGGTTAGAATCGAACCCACGACCTCCTGTACACCAGGTGAGGTAGTTACATCTCCTAGCCACCGTGATGATGATGAGAGAGAGAGAGAGACACGCAAACTACAAATATACAGCAGCAGGCGTCGTCAGGGTTGGACTCTAACCCACGACCTCCTGCACACCAGGCGAGGTAGTCAACATCTCCTAGTCACCGTGATGATGATGAGAGAGAGAGAGAGACACGCAAACTACAAATATACAGCAGCAGGCGTCGTCAGGGTTGGGATCGAACCCACGACCTCCTGTACACCAGGTGAGGTAGTTTGATCCTACAAAAATACATTTATTTCACCCATGACTAATGCGCAAGAGATTCTCGCAACATTTTTCATATATGATATATATACTTTTTTAATAACATTGAAAATTGTTCAACATTTCAAAATGAAAAACTTTTACAATAAAAATTTTTAAACAGATTTTATTACATAATATTACGAGCAACAATTGTCCATCTGACCTTCCAGAGTGTTTTTTGCTTTGCTCGCAGGTGAAATGAGGTGCCCAGGGTTTGCCTTAAACTAATGTAAAGTTGACAGATGTGAAAAAGGAATAGCCCTTGCTCACGGCGGGGCTTACGGCGTAGTACCTACATATTTTTAAATCCTTTATATTAAGTTCGCTTGCTTGCTTAGGACCGTGCAAATCTTTCGGTCGTTTTTTTAACCCACTTCCCGTGATCCAATCGAGCTGACATTTTCCACACAGACTCGTTGTGCGTGACAATTTCTTTTCGTGAAAATTTTTTTCCAAAATTTTACACTGTTTAGGGATTTTTTTAAAATATTTAATTACCAATTGCTTAATGCTGGCAGACAATCATCTGACCCATAGGTGGCAGCCATCTCAAGCCAGAGGACGAGAGGACTCTAGCCGCCACGCATATAAAGGATTTATAGTGAAAAACTTTGTTTTTACGGGTTAAATTTTTTACGTAATACCCCACCTTTGGAGAGCCAAGCACGTGACCACACACAAACCCCGCCACAAACCCACACACAACTTTTGACTTATATATATAGATTTCTATTACTGGAAAGGTATAGAATGTTCTAGACGTTACTCCAAGTCTACTCAGCACTAAATCTATCTGGAATGTTCTGGAAAATAAAAACATTAAAAAATATCACTCTCCTGGTCGCAAAAGCAAAGTTTGTGGGTAATAATAGCCATTTTCTTTACTTTTGAGGCATAAGCAATTAGGAAATAAGACTTACCACCCAGGAACAAAAATTGTTACACAGTGGAAGCGTGGCGGTGAGGTTTCGGAATCTGCAAGCCCGAGGCTACTTTGGGCTCGCCTTCCCATCAACCAGAGGAGAGGAGTGGTGGCCGTGGTTACTTATGCCCCACCGAAGATGAATATCAGTGGAGGGATGCAGGCAAGGCCGATGAGTCAAATGCCATCTATGACCTCCTGTCACAGGTGCTGGCTAAAGTGGTCCCTCGGGATAGAGCCATCCTGTTGGGTGACTTTCATACCCGAGTTGGTCATGATGCTGGCACCTGGTCTGGAGTGATTCGAAGGCATGGGACAGATCAGCTCTATACCAATGTTAGGATGCTGCTGGACTTTTGTCCAGCCCATGGGTTTGTAATTACCAATACGCTGTTCCGGCATCGGCGCATTCACACAACATCATCGATGCATGCCAGGTCGAAGCAAGAACATCTGTTGGACTTTATAGTGACAGGACAGCGGATGCGAGCCCATGTCCTTGTCCTTGACACCAGGACCTACCATGGAGCTGATCTGCCCACTGACCATCGACTTGTCATCTGTCAGATGCGCCTGCCATTCTTCCACTCCGGTGATGTGTGTATACCCAGGACCTTATTCAAACCCATAGTGACCTGGTCTCAGCTAGCTGATGAAAGTTGCAAGCGAGAAATTCATCATCGCTTGCAGCTGGGGTTTGCATCGTCCCCCATTCCTCGTGATGTCGAGGGGAAATGGGCTGATGCAGCTGCATTAGCTGCCTTGGATACACGGTCCAGACCTCACCATAGACCCTGGCTGACATAGGAGGTGTTCAGGCTGGCTGAGAAAAAACAACAGGCCCACTTTCATCGTCTATGGCATCCCACAGATAATGAGGAGGATTACCGCAGCCTTCGATGAGATGTTCAGAGAGCCATGAGGTGCTGCAAGGATAGGTAGTGGTCGCGGATTGTTGAGATGGAGTCTGCCTCAGTGGGCCGCAATCACAAATCACTCTTTAATTTCACACCTATCACCATCATTAGGGGAATACACGGTGATCCAATCTCCGACCCCCAGGAACAGGTTTGCAGATTTGCTGAGCATTTCTGTGAGGTCTTGGAGGAGGGGAATCCCTCAGCCTGGAAAACATGGGGCAAAGTGGGGATGACCCTGCTGAGGCTGCGATGCCTCGAATATTGGAAGTAATCACCCCCTGTGAGTGGCTGGCTGAGGTGCCATCTGTTGAGGAAGTACTGAACGCGATCCAGAGTCTGAGACCAGGAAAGACACCGGGCAGAGATGATCTCCCAAGCGAAATGCTGAGGGAGGGTGGCGTTTGTGCGCAGACTGCCCTACATGACATCATAACAACAGTTTGGGCCACTGGACAGGTTCCACAGGACTGGAAGGATGCCCTGGTGGTCCCCCTCTTTAAGAAGGGGGGCCGCACAGACTGTAACAACTACAGGGGCATCTCACTCCTCAGTGTGCCGGGAAAGGTCCTGACAAGGATTAATCAACATCGCCTTGCCAGGCACGCTGAGGAGAGGCTTGCGGAGCACCAATGTGGTTTCAGGAAATGGCGGTCCTGTACAGATGCCATATTTTCTGTCTGTCTACTACAGCAGAGGTGTAGGGAATTCCAACAAGACCTACATCTCTGCTTTATTGACCTGGTCAAGGCCTATGATACCATCAGTAGGCCTGGGCTCTGGGTTGTTCATGCTTTCAGAGTCCCTGACTCTCTGCTCATGATCATTAAGGACCTTCATGATGGTGAGCGGGCCTGGGTAATACTACGTGGCCGGGAGTCGGAACCATTCCCTGTTGACCTTGGGGTGCGACACGGATGTCCTCTGGCTCCCACATTGTTTAACATATATTTCGACCACAGAGTTTGTGAAGCCTTCGATGGCTGTACTGGAGGAATTTCCATCTGGTACAGATACAATGGGAGGCTGATCGATGCCCAGGTGCGTTCAATGGATGGCTGCGTATTGGTCAACCATGTAGTGTATTTTTTGGTTATTTCCGGTAAAGTCACGTAGATAGAAAAATAATAAAAAAAAACTAAAAACGCTAATTGTAGATTTTAGCCTGGTTCTTAATCGGAGTGGGTGTACTGGCAGTCTATAATGTGGATTGTAGCAATGGTTATTAGCTGGGTGTGTACTGGAAGTCTTTAATGTAGACTGTAGCCTGGTTCTTAACTTTGGTGAGTGTACTGGCAGTCTATAATGTAGACCGTAGCCTGTTTTTTTAAGCTGGTGAGCGTATTGGAAGTCTATGATGCAGACTGTAGCAATGGTTCTTAACCTGAGTGAGCGTACTGGCAGTCTATAATGTAGACTGTAGCCTGGTTCTTAACTTTGGTGAGTGTACTGGCAGTCTATAATGTAGACCGTAGCCTGGTTTTTAAGCTGGTGAGCGTATTGGAAGTCTATGATGCAGACTGTAGCAATGGTTCTTAACCAAAGTGAGCATACTGCAAGTCTATAATGTAGACTGTAGCCTGGTTCTTAACCTGAGTGAGCGTACTGTCAGTCTATAATGTAGACCTATTCTTGGTTCTTTCAGTAATTTAAATGTAAAATCTATATAAATAAAAAGAAAAAAATACGACGTTTCAATCGCAACACAAGCGGTCGTCATCAGGAAAAGGGGGGTTAGCCTCTAAAGGAAAACTGTTTATAAAGGTTTAGAGGTGGGCGTAGTCCAAGTGTGTCAGCAGCATGGGCAGGGCAGTTAATATTCATGTAGGAGAAAGCAACGCCAACGCAGTGGGTCTACACCAATCAAAGGGCCGCCAGGCAATCATTGCACCTCGCTCCACACACCCACACAGCTGACGGTGGAGGTTGACAAGAAAACACAAATCAAGTCATGACCCAAAGTGGTTGATGACCTCTTTCCAATGATTGCTGAGTTTATAACCATCCTCTCGGTTGAAATTGTGTCTGTGTCTGTATATATGGATGGCTTCATGAACTAATCTTTGTTGATCGCCAGTAGGCTTGCAAAGTACCAACGTCTTAGAGAAATAAATTTCGCGTGAAGCAGCCGCATTAAAGTAATGATCAGCCACGGCAGAAGTATTGGTCCTACCGTGTTTCAGATCTACCTTGTGTTCACGAACAGGGTCCGAGACATGTCGCTTAGTTTCCCTAATGTAACTGCTGCCGCAGACACAGCTTTGTTTGTGATATTTCATGTCAGGAATCTTGTCCTTCACAGATGATCTGATCCCATCCGTCACCTGCATCCTCACCACCCCTCACACCTCCCACCAACCCTCACCACCACCACCCTCACCACCGCCCTCACCACCACTCACTCCAACCCTCAGCGATGCCGATGCCTCTCCTCCTCAACGCCGCTTCGAACAGCATCATCAACACCACCATCAACAACAACATCAGCAGCATCATCAGCAGCACCACCATCAGCAACATCGGCAGCGGCATCATCAGCGGCAACATCAGCGGCAGCAACATCAGCGGCAACATCAACGGCGGCAACATCAGCGGCATCACCAGCGGCAACATCAGCGGCCCGGGCTGCCAAGTCGACGGCAACTTCACGCCCGTCTTCCTGCCCAGCATCTACGGCGTCTCGCTCATCCTGGGCGTCGTCGGCAACGCGGCCGGCATCTTCTGCTTCTGCCGCCACATGCGCCCCTGGTCGCCGCTCACCGTCTACATGCTCAACCTCGCCGTCTCGGACCTCTGCTACGTCCTCTCGTTGCCCTTCCTCATCGACTACTACGTGGCGCGCACCTGGCGCTACGCCGAATGGCACTGCAGGGCGCAGCGAGCCACCTTCCACGCCAACATGTACGCCAGCATCCTCTTCCTCACCGTCATCGCCGGGCACCGCTACGCCGGCATCGTCCACCCGCTGCGCTGCCGCGGCGCGCCCCTGGCCGTGTCGCGCCGCGCCAGCGCCCTCGTCAGTGCCGCCGTGTGGGCAGCCGTCGCCGGGCTGGTGCTGCCCCAGGTGTGGTTCGTGCGGCTCGGCGTGGCGAAGGCGGCGGGGGCAGGAGGAGGGGGGGAAGACGTCGTGAAGTGCTACGACACGACCACCAAGGACATGCTGCAAGAATACCTGCCGTACAGGTGGGTGGGATGGATTTGCGTGGGTGGGTTGGGTGGATGGGTTTGGTTGGGTTCATGGGTCTCTGTGCGAGCGAGTCTATGGGTCTCTGTGTGAGTTTATGGGTCTCTGCGTGAGTCTATGGGTCTCTGCGTGAGTCTATGGGTCTCTGTGTGAGTTTATGGGTCTCTGTGTGAGTCTATGGGTCTCTGTGTGAGTTTATGGGTCTCTGCGTGAGTCTATGGGTCTCTGTGTGAGTGTATGGGTCTCTGTGTGAGTCTATGGGTCTCTGTGTGAGTTTATGGGTCTCTGTGTGAGCTTGTGGGTCTCTGTGTAAGTCTATGGGTCTCTGTGTGATTCTGTGTGTCTCTGTGTGAGTCTATGGGTCTCTGTGTGAGTCTATGGGTCTCTGTGTGAGTTTATGGGTTTCTGCGTGAGTCTATGGGTCTCTGCGTGAGTCTATGGGTCTCTGTGTGAGTTTATGGGTCTCTGTGTGAGTCTATGGGTCTCTGTGTGAGTTTATGGGTCTCTGCGTGAGTCTATGGGTCTCTGTGTGAGTTTATGGGTCTCTGTGTGAGTCTATGGGTCTCTGTGTGAGTCTGTGGGACTCTGTGTGAGTCTATGGGTCTCTGTGTGAGTCTACGGGTCTCTGTGTGAGTCTGTGGGTCTCTGTGTGAGTTTGTGGGTCTCTATGCGAGTTTGTGGCTCTCTGTGTGAGTCTGTGGGTCTCTGTGCGAGTCTATGGGTCTCTGTGCGAGTCTACGGCTCTCTGTGTGAGTCTATGTGTCTCTGTGTGAGTCTACGGGTCTCTGTGTGGGTCTATGTCTCTCTGTGTGAGCAAGTCTGTGTGGGTGGTGGTCGATCCACGTGTCGAGTGGACACAACACGAACCCTCCCCCCATGCCCCCCCTGCCCCCACCGCCCCTCTGACTTCCCGCAGCTTCGTCCTCTCCGTCCTGGGATTCTTTGTCCCGTTCTGCGCGATGCTCTTCTTCTACGGCTCCGTCGTCTGCGCCTTGGCCGGCACCTCCGACGGCCGCTGGGGAAGAGGAGGAAGAGGAGGAGGAGGAGGAGGGGGGGTCACGGGCCAGGGGACGGCGTGCGCCGTGACCCCCGCCGACCGCCGGCGCACCAAGCGCATCGTGGGGGTCACGCTGGTGCTGTTCGCCGTCTGCTTCCTCCCCTACCACGTGATGCGCCTGTGGAACCTCCTGGTGAGGCTCTACCCGCCGGAGGAGTGCGCCACCTCCACCAACGTCTACCTCACCTACCAGGTGAGCTGTGGCGGGCGGGCGGGTGGGTGGGTGGGTGAATGAGTGAATCGGTGGGTGAATGAGTGAATGGGTGAGTGAATGGGTGGGTGAATGGGTGTATGGGTGAATGAGTGAATGGGTGGGTGAATGAATGAATGGGTGGGTGAATGGGTGGGTGAATGAGTGAATGGGTGGGTGAATGGGTGAATGGTGACTGGGTGGGATAAATTGGTGGCTGGGTAGGTGAATAAGTGAATGGGTGGGTGAGTGGGTGCTGGGTGGTTGGGTGGGTGATTTGGTGGCTGGGTGGGTGAATGGGTGGTTGGGTGGGTGAATGAGTGGGTGGGTGAATGAGTGAATGGGTGGGTGACTGGGTAGGTGAATGGATGGGTGAATGGGTGGTTGGGTGAGTTAATGGGTGGTTGGGTGAGTAGGTGGCTGGGTGGTTGGGTGAACGGGTAGTTGGGTGGGTGAATGGGTGGTTGAGCGGGTGGCTGGGTGGGTGAGTGGGTGGCTGGCTGGGTGGGTGGCTGAGCGCGTGGCTGGGTGGGTGAGTGGGTCGCTGGGTGAGTGGGTGGCTGGGTGGGGGGTTGGGTGGGTGAGTGGCTGGCTGAGCAGGTGGCTGGGTGGGTGAGTGGGTGGCTGGGTGGCTGGGTGGGTGGGTGGGTGAGTGGGTGGTTGGGTGGCTGGGTGGGTGGGTGGTTGGGTGGGTGGCTGGGTGGGTGGCTGGGTGGGTGAGTGGGTGATTGGGTGGGTGGCTGGGTGGGTGGGTTGGTGGTTGGGTGGGTGGGTGGTTGGGTGGGTGGCTGGGTGGCTGGGTGGGTGAGTGGCTGGCTGAGCAGGTGGCTGGGTGGGTGAGTGGGTCGCTGGGTGGGTGGCTGGCTGGGTGGCTGGCTGGCTGGCTGTGTGTCTGCGTGTGGGCAAATGTTGTGGCTGACACACCCCCCCCCGCGTCTCCCCCCCTTCTCCGTGGCTAGGTGACGCGCGGCCTGGCCAGCCTCAACAGTTGCCTGGACCCGGTGCTCTACGTGTTCGCCAGAGGCGGCGTCCGCTCGGCGCTCCGAGAGAGCCTCCGCTCCGTGAGCCGCTCCGAGCTCAGCCGCCTCTCCCTCCGACACCTCGACCGCATCACCGCCCTGGGGAGCGCCGGCGGCGGTGGGCCCGGCGGGGAAGGGGCGGCCACGGGGGAGCCGGACGGTGCCGGGGGCTGTGCGGGCGACTGGGAGAAGCTGGGGGGCGACGTGGACGAAGACCTGGGGGAGGTGTTTGAAGAGGCAGGGCGGACTACGAGGACGAAGCATCGGTGAAGGGGCTCCCCCCCCCCACCCACTCCCGACCCAGAAAGGTAGGGGGAGGGAGGGGGGCGGTGGACAGACGCGAGGGAGGGAGTTACGGGAAGGTCCGTCGTTCATTCTGCCCGGTGTTCTTCATCGCAAGGCCCATACCCCGGGGAGGCCGCTGACGTGCGGGCCCTGCTGGTGGCCTTCAATGCGGCCCTCTGACGTGCAGCCCCGGCCCACCCCCCCCCCGGCTCAACAATCCACAAAGAGTGGAGACCACCACCACCACCAGCATCATCATCATCATCGTCGTCCTCGTGCTGCTGTCAAAACCCCCAATGGTGTTTCAAATGTTGCGGCAGAGGCCCTAACACACACACACTGATGATGGTGAAAGTGTCCTCCCTTCCGAAAGTTTGGCGAAGATCACCGCCTTAAGTGAACACGGTGGCACCTTTTCGCGCGTGAGTTGAGACTCGGGGTGAGAAAGATGTACGTGTATGTTTTTTTTTTTAATGTACGTTACATTTCTTTGGCACCGTCCGTAGTCAACCGCGCTAATCAAACAACAACAACAAGCAGTTCCAAAGAAATGCGTTTGTCAATCTGGACGATGACTTAAAAGTGCACAGTATGGCTCCCAGCGCCTTCCTAATATCGTAAATGAAGAGAACGTTCCAGACGGCCGCAAGCGGCGCGTCCGAGAGCTCTGCGCGATTGCGTTGACCGGAGTCATGTTTGCATAGACCGCAACACCTGCAGTCATAATACAAACAAAAGACATAACTCTGATAATGTGCACTGTCCTTGAAGTTGATTGGTTCACACCCAAGACAGCTTTCCTTAGAGCCTAGTCTCACATGGGTTGGCGTCATCTGGTCCAACCCATGTGAGACTAGGCTCTAAGGAAAGCTGTCTCGGGTGTGGACCAATCAACTTCAAGGACAGTGCACATACATTATCAGAGTTATGTCTTTTGTTTGTATTATGACTGCATGTATTGTGGTCTATGCAAACATGACTCCTTGTAAAAAGGTGTCAGTTTTGTTGCCAAATAGAAGGGTAAAAAACAATTATCAGGTCCCACTTAGCTGTGTGTCGCTCTAATTGAGAAGCGGCCTTGGCTGTCACAAATGATAGCTCAACGAAGTGGGATCATCATCATACTCGTTGGTTCTTTCGGTAAAGTCACGTAGATAGAAAATGAATAGATCACGACGTTTTGATCGCAGCACAGAGAGCCCCTCAGCTCTGACGTAGGAGAGAGAGAGAGCTGCGGTCGAAATGTCGTGATCTGTTAATTTTCTACTCTACGTGACTTTACCGAAAGAATCAAAGAGTATGGATTCCTGCAGTCACGAAAGCTTAAAATCAAGATTTGGATCATCATCATCATCACGTGCAGATTTATAGAAGTAGCCAAATACTATAAAAGCACGTTGATTCTATATGACTATCTTCAAACTATGATTATTTTTCGATTTAAAGCTTTCGTGACTGCAGGGATTCATCTTCTTGGTTCTTTCGGTAAAGTCACGTAGAAGGGAAGTAATAAAATAAGAAAAATAAAACATAATAAAATAATTCTCACGACGTTTCGGCCACAACGCAAGCAGCCGTCCTCAGGTGAAGAACAGGTCTGTCGGAAAAACAGTGTCATTCAGACACTGTTCTTCACCTGAGGACGGCTGCTTGCGTTGTGGCCGAAACGTCGTGAGAATTATTTTATTATGTTTTATTTTTATTATTTTTATTATTTTATTACTTCCCTTCTACGTGACTTTACCGAAAGAACCAAGAAGATGAATCCCTGCAGTCACGAAAGCTTTAAATCGTCATTCTAAATGTTGGAGGGAAATACCGCGCGACCACGGGGAGAGAGAGAGACACGCAAACTCCAAATATCCAACAGGCGTCGTCGGGATCAAACCCACCATGATGATGATGATAGAGAAAGAAGCAAACTCCAAATATACAGCAGGCGTCAGGGTCGGGATCGAACCCACGACTTCCTGTATACCAGGCGATGTAGTTAACATCTCCTAGTCAACTTGATGATGATAGAGAGACACGCAAACTCCATATATACAGCAGCAGGCGTCAGGGTCGGGATCGAACCCACGACCTGCTGTAGACCAGGCGAGGTAGTCAACATCTCCTAGCCACCGTGGCAAAGGGGGACCCTGTTGGTGACACTTGTAGATTGGGACCATGAGAGGTGGGGGGGGGGTGGAATTATTGTCCACCACCTATTTGTTTAGACACCGCAGCTTGCATCTTTCGCAAAAAGGAGACCTGTGATAGAAAAGTGAATGTGTTGTATCAACCGAAGGCCGTGCCCTTAATGTAACCACTGAGAGGCGCTTGTTGTTGTTATTGTCGTTGTTGCTGTTGTTGTTGTCTTCACTGTTGTTGTCGTTGCGAGGGTGGACACTTTGCCAAGCTGTCACAGGAGTGATCTGGATTGGTAATCTGACATCACGGCGTCGTCTCTCGCTTACGAAGGGAACCCGGTCAAGTGTCTATTGTCAACCCCACAATCCTTTATTTAACCACGCAAGACGCGACCTGGGGCTTGGGCCGATGTCGGATGGACACAGCGCTTGTGCCCAAGGGAGACCTGGGGTGAGAGACACAGAGAGTGCGACTACTTCTCAACTGAAGATCCATCCTTTATTTAACCTTGGGGGCGATGGACACAGCACTTGTGCCCAAGGGAGACCTGGGGTGGAGAGACACAGAGAGTGTGCCTACTTCTCAACTGAAGGATCCGCCTTTATTTAACCATGGGTGCGGATGGACACAGCACTTGTGCCCAAGGGAGACCTGGGGTGGAGAGACACGCAGAGAGTGTGACTACTTCTCAACTGAAGATCCATCCTTTATTTAACCATGGGGGCGATGGACACAGCACTTGTGTGCATGGGAGACCTGGGTGGAGAGACACAGAGAGTGTGATTACTTCTCAACTGAAGATCCATCCTTTATTTAACCATGGGGGCGATGGACACAGCACTTGTGTGCATGGGAGACCTGGATGGAGAGACACAGAGAGTGTGATTACTTCTCAACTGAAGATCCATCCTTTATTTAACCATGTGGGTGATGAACACAGCACTTGTGTGCAAGGGAAACCTGGGATGGAGAGACACAGAGAGTGTGACTACTTCTCAACTGAAGATCCATCCGTTATTTAACCATGGGGGCGATGGACACAACACTTGTGCCCAAGGGAGACCTGGGATGGAGAGACACAGAGACTGTGACTACTTCTCAACTGAAGATTCATCCATTATTTAACCGCAGTCGGACTATTTTTTACATGACGTACACGGTCTATATAAATATCTAATATAAAAAAAGATGGACACTTATAATTGTCTGTAATAATTTTTGTGCGTTTCGCGACACGAGGCGTGAGATCAGAGCAGAGACACCCAGATGGAGATCATTCCAGAGACACCCAGATGGAGATCAGAGCAGAGACAGGTAGATGTGAAAAAGAGCTTAATAGCTCATCGGATTCCTCCAGTAATGAATACTTATTCTGATATGTAGAATAGAGCTTTATAGATCATCGGATTCCTTCTGTAAACACATTTCTGCCGGAGGGAGCTGGTAGGAACGTTGGGTTGCTCGGCCAATGGCCAGGGTCAACGGCGGCGTGGTGTATTCCGCAAATATGCCCGACTGTGAGGGCGGGCACAAGCCGGCGTGAGTAGGTTAAACGTTGAGTTTTGTAAGGACACCACGGAGTGACCAGCCCCTCCCCACCCAGCCCCACCCCTCCCACCCCCCACCCAGCCCCACCCTCCCCACCCATCCCCTCCCCACCCTCCCCACCCAACCCCTCCCCACCCAGCCCCACCCCTCCCACCCCCCACCCAGCCCCACTCTCCCCACCCATCCCCTCCCCACCCTCCCCACCCAGCCCCTCCCCACCCTCCCCTCTCCACCCAGCCCCACCCCTCCCATTTTTGGATGCACGACGGACGGACGGATACAATAATCCCCTGTGGGCTGGTGGAACCAGGTGGTTCCTACCAGTAAAACACATGCTGATCTGTGGTAAAGAACTCCATAGCCCGTCCGATTCCTCCAGGACTCAATGCGCATTCTGACTCTGGTGATTGATTTCGAGGGCAGGTGACGAGGAGGGTTGAGTGGGTGAGTGTCTGGACTTGTCCGTGTAGCGCTGACTCTGAACGAGGCCACGCGCGTGCCCTCCCCTCCCTCTCTCTCCTCTCTCTCCTCTCTCTCTCCTCTCTCTCACACATTCCTGACGCGTGAGAGCGGCTCCTGCCTGTCCCCTGCCTCGGGACAATTCACTCCGCGCGACTCTCCCGCTCGAGTCGCGTTCCAGACAGAGAATCACAAACAATGATTTGCGCGTGTTTTTTAACGAGGGGAGCGGTGGTGCAGCGGTTAGCGCCACGCCGCGCTACGAATCCGGCGACCCGAGTTCGATTCCCGCTCACGGCCAACACCACAGTGACGATTATCTGAACCGGTTCCTGAGCCTCCCCATAGGTCGACTCAGCCTCAAATGAGTAGCTGGTGCGGTGCGTAGTAAACATTGCCACTGGGGAGACAAAGGCGGTCGGGCGTGGTGCTGGCCACCCACCCCCTCGTGTGCCGTGCCGGCCTTCATAGGTGCTGCTCGCTAACAGCACTTGCCCCAACAGTCTGTTGAGGCTACACGGGGGATCTTTGTCTTTGTGTTAATGAGGTAGGGACAGAGATGTAACGGAGATGTAACGGAGGTGGTAGTGACTCTTTAGTAGCTCCGAGTCTCGGTGATAATAGCGCTGCTGAGCGTTGTAAACTATCAACATTTTTTTCTTTCTATTTTACCAGGTTAGGCCCACCGAGCCGTCTAGCTCTTCTTCAGAAGCTGCTCGGCCACAAAATGCAATAGCTCACCGAAGTGGCTTAGCACGTGGACGTTTATAGCAGTAGCAACATACTCTGTTTACATGTGGAGGGGAAAACCGGAGGACCCGGAGAAAAATCCACGCGACCACAGC